ATTCAAATAATGATCTGCGTTACCATAAAGTGAGTTCATATATTATCACGGAATACACGTGCCTTAGGGGCTCTGATATCGATGTTTTCCCGCTCCAACGTTGATTCAGAAAAGAAGGGAAGGATGTAATTTGAGTCTGCAAATCGCCCTTCGTGGTCTCCCTGTAGAATTACGGAATAAAAACGCAGAATTTTTAGCCGGGCAAAAGTATATTTGAAAGTTAATAGGAAACAAGATACTACAAGAATCTGGAGATTAAGGTGAAATGCAATGCAATGAAAAATGAATAAACCAATTCAGATTTTTTTTAGGCGAGAATTTTGTATAATCTGTAGCTAGCCTAAGTTTGAAGTTACCACTTCAAGAAATTTTTCTCACTTTCTCAGAATTAGATTGTGTTTTTAATTGAATGTTTGGCGAGGAATGTTTATCAGTCTTTTAATTGTTTTTGTAGCCTTTTGTAATCAAGTGTTCTCTTCTTGGCGATTGAACAGTTGTGTGGCTTTCACTCTTCAGATCAAGCTCTGCTACACGTTGTAGCAAAAACTCTTGATTTTCATAGGAATCTTTGTGTCAGTTTTGGCTAATCTCTGCACGGCTCGCCTTCTTTCTGTGGGCTTTTTGGAAAGGGCTAAAGCGTGCTTCTTTTCACTAGAAAAATCGAATAAGAAATGAGGAGTGTGACAAAAGGAACTTGCAGAGTAATTTAATTGCGATATCGCGTTATTTTAACATTGTTTGTTTCTGAGGTAACAGATCAAAAACGACTGAGCTATTTTGACCGTTCATGAGAAATGGCTGTGAACAGTCACTCAGCGGGAAAACCGCATTTTAGCTCATATAATTATGCGTAGTAACGTTTTTTTTATTAATTATTTTTTGGGAAAAAAAGTAATTATTTGAAAGTGGTATGCTGAAAAATAAAAAACCCTAAATTGATCACAAGCCCTAATACCTCGCTTGAATTACTTTGTTCATCTAGAAACAAAGTCTAGACGACTGACGCAAGACTTCAATAATTCAGTTACTGAAACGAGACCGTTGACTACCAAAATAAAGACTGAAAGTTTCAAATCTTAGGTGGGAGTCATATTTGTATGCAGTTTTCGGAGAACGATCATAAGTTACCTGAAAGGTCTCAGAATGTGTCATCCCTGTTCAATTTTGGTAGAGAAGGAAGCCCTCCTATGAGGAAAATCGAGATTCATTGAAATTCGGAATTAATGTTTTCTGTATTGCCATAGCTTTTAAACTAACCTGACGCCACAGGATAAAGAACTTTTTTTTTTCTAAAGCAGTTTACTTTGAAAGCTGGTGTCTATTTTAATTTTGCGGTTGTGGCTTGGTAGACTCTGCGTGGGCGACTTTTGATAATTGCCTTAGTGTGTTTCCATGCGTTTGAGAGTTTCTTAGGAGACTCGCTCGGTTGGTGGCCAAGAATTACAGCGTTTGTAACAGGTCAAGGTTAACGACAAAAATGGAGCCATTTTTAACACAAAACTCATTAGACTGTCTCATTTATCCATCCTGGCAGATTTCCTATTAAATCCTTCGGGAGGTTTCCGCTATAAAGACCAAACCTCATTTAAAACCAAGTTCATTAACCGTAAAAAACCGAACATACTTGACCCAACAAAGGTGAATAATTTATGTTGTTTACCCAAGTTATTGAAAACGGTGACGTTTTTTACCAGTTTGCAATGTAAATGTGGCTACGTTTCGGTGTGAGTAAGAAAGCCAAGCTCTTTTGGTGAGAAAAATGATTATTTTGCGTCAACCTCTAACCATTCGTTGTTGCGGGTAAGTTAATGATTTTCGCTTAAATTGTTGACCAGTCAGCTTTGA